GGCAAAATTAGCAGCAGCGGGAACTTGGAAGCAGCTGTTTGGGTAGAGGGAGGGAGGGAGTCAGGACGGGAGCAAGACCAGGTCCAGGCTGGTTTCCTCCCGCCCGTCCCTCCATCAGCTGATGGCTGGGCCAAGAAGGCCATGAGGCGGTGCCTGAAGAGACCACTGGATTAGCTCCGAAAGCGGCATAGTCTGTGATGTCTACTGCTGGTGTCTGTTGGACTGGCTGGAGAAGAGGAGGAAGAGGTGAGGAAGAGGTGAAGATGATGATCCATGCCAGGACCAGCCTCCGAACCTCGGCATTTCTGACGAATGGCCCTTCCACTCGGCCCAGCGCCGGAAGTGCCCGGTATCCACAATCTTGTCAGGTTCACATTCCATTGCGGCCGAGTACGTACCGCATGTCTCCCCCGCAAAATCACAAGCTCGGCTTGGGGTCGGTAATGTGAAGGCTGCAGTGGCCCGCGGAGGTTTCTGCCGTAGCATGCCGCACGCTGGAACGGGGCAACGACTCTTTTGGCGCTACGTCACTCTTCTTTGCGCAGAATCACAGGCCGATGACTGACTGACTGGCAGAGTACCGTGTCAGTCAAGTTGGTTGTTGGAGTAAGGTAGCCTTAGCTCCTCCTCAGCATTGCTTTGCTTTGTCTATGCCTCTCTTCTGAAGCCAGCACTGACAGTGTGCACGCAGCTCCGGTCGTCCAGTGCCGCTGTTGATGAGTCCGGCAACCAATTGGTCTTCTCCAGCAGAAGAATAGAGAGAGCCAGGGGGTGTTTTGGAAGGGGGGAAAACATTTTGATGACTGAAGAAAGATGATCCAAGATACCTTTTCCCCATGGTCCCTCTCTTCGAGCCCTTCCCACACGGTTGCATCTTATCCCTCCACCCCCGTCTACCCAGTCACAGCCTCCGTTCCGCCGAATCGGGATGGGCGCGCTCATCATCTTGTCGCAACCCACGCGTGCGCTGCGCTAGTAGCCAGACGTCTGAAGATTCGATGGTTTGAGCCACTCAGACATCGGCCCCGTGCTTGTCTCTTCCATTTTTGCACTTGTTCTTCCTGCTACTGCGTGGAAGACATGGAAGCGTCCGTGTCTACTCTACTCTGCTCTGCACATCTTGTTCCTACTCATCTATCCACACACGCCCTGGTGCCCCGGTCTGCCGATGCCCCTGGCGCTGGGCCGTCTAGTGTCTGGCCTCGTCGTTGTGCCGCGGGTGAAGGGGGGCGGAACTGAGGGACACCTTCTCCTCATATGCTTTTTCGTCTGCTCCCCTCATGCTCGGGAAGGTTGTGTCTAGGTACACATCCAGAGTCACACATACGTACGCACACCTGGGTACCGTCTGAAGTCGGGGAACCTCGAGTCATCTGCATACTGCGTATGTCTGCTTGTCCCGGGGCTGATTTTCTATTCTGGCTTGTGCCTTGACCCCTCGTCCCCCCCCCCCCCCCCCCCCCCCCCCCCCCCGTCACTGTGAACCACCACCCCCCTCGGCCCCTCCAACACACGCCTAGTACGCCACCTTTATATCTTCTGCCGTGGCTTTCATCACCGGCGCCGAGGATGTCTTCTTTGTAGGTCCGTCCCTGACTTGACTTGACGACTTGTTCCGAATCTTCTTCTTCTCGTCCCGGCTCCTTCCCAAGCTTCTTTCCTTGCTCTTTCCCGTGTGTCCCGCTCTTGTATGACTACTTCCTCTTGATACCTCCTTCTCTACCTGCACGCGCAGCATCGACATTGTTCTTGCCATTGAACAGAGAAGAAGAAAGCGTGACTCTTGCTTTGTTCTTGTAGACCCCTTGGCGCGAGCCTCCTGCTGCCTACCTTTCCTGTCATCTCGTTTGCGCATATCCCTATTTCTTCGTGAATCATGGCCTCCAAGGTCAAGCAAGATGGCAAGACGACGTCGGCTGCCACGAACCTCATTGGTATGTCCCACCACCCGCAATTCCATTATGGGACGACTGCGACTGACATGATGGTATAGCTGGCGGTGGTGCCGGCATGATGGAGGCGTTGGTCTGCCACCCACTCGGTAAGTTCTTCCCCTCGGCGCAAACCTCGCGATGGGTGACAGACATCTTTACTGACACGTGCGACACAACCAGACACGATCAAGGTCCGAATGCAGCTGTCGCGGCGCGCAAGGCAGCCCGGAGCGCCCAAGCGCGGCTTCATCCGCACCGGAGTCGAGATCGTCAAGAAGGAAACGCCGCTGGGTCTGTACAAGGGTCTCGGTGCCGTGTTGACGGGCATCGTGCCCAAGATGGCCATCCGGTTCACGAGTTTCGAGGGATATAAGCAGATGCTGGCGGACAAGAAGACGGGGATCGTCAGCGGACAGGCGACTTTCCTAGGTAGGTGTCTCCAACAGTCCCCCAATCTTGACTCGCAGATGGAGAATGTTTGTCACTGACCAGTGAGACAGCTGGCCTCGCCGCGGGTGTGACGGAAGCCGTCGCCGTCGTGACGCCAATGGAGGTCATCAAGATCCGTCTGCAGGCGCAGCACCACTCCATGGCGGACCCCCTCGACATCCCAAAGTACCGCAACGCGGCGCACGCGCTCTACACCGTCGTCAAGGAGGAGGGTTTCGGCGCGCTGTACCGGGGCGTGTCGCTGACGGCGCTGCGGCAGGGTAGCAACCAGGCCGTCAACTTCACGGCCTACTCGTACTTCAAGGAGGCGCTCAAGGACTACCAGCCGCAGTACGCCGGGGGAAACCTGCCGAGCTGGCAGACGACGGTGATTGGGCTCGTCAGCGGTGCCATGGGCCCGTTGAGCAATGCGCCGATCGACACCATCAAGACGAGGTTGCAAAAGACGCCTGCCGAGTTTGGCACGAGCGCGTGGAGTCGCATTGCCAAGATCTCGAGTGATATGTTCAAGTGAGTGTTGTCTTCTCGCATTGCTCCTGAGAGCCTGCAGAATACTGACAGTGTGTGTGCGTCCGCAGGCAAGAAGGCATGCACGCCTTTTACAAAGGTATCACGCCTCGCATCATGCGTGTTGCGCCGGGACAGGCCGTGACGTTTACCGTCTACGAGTACCTCAAGGAAAAGCTGGAGAGAAGCAACGTGTCCTTCACTGGAGGCAAATACGAAGAGTAGATGCACAGGGTCAAGGGGAACTGCTTTTCAGGTGGCCGTCTGTTGATGCAAGATACCAGTTTTTAACCTGCACGTCGAAAGCAACAGGTGGGGGGGAAGGCATGGTTGCACGCGAAGAGGAAGAAGATGCCGCAAGTTGTAGATATGCCGAACATACTTAGAAAGTATCGCATTGCGAATCAATTCTGTCTATCATCAGCCCGATCTACAGGCTCGGGACCCAACGCCTTTGCATTGCATTGCATGCGCTCGACCTTTTTTCTTGCTTCTCCCGCCTTACCCGCCTGCAGCCCTATACCTTCACATTTACCTTCCGGGACGCTTGGGTCTGCTGAAGCCTTGTCTGGCCGTCACCTTGGGATGCAGCTCGGACAGGACCGAGTCTTCGGTGACCTCGCTGGGCTCCTCGACCTCGAGCTTCTTGTCCAGCGTCAGGCCGGCCTCGCCGGTCGCGATCTCGAGCACGGCGCGCTTCATGAGCGGGTACAGCATGCGGTTCTTGATGGCCTTGTTGCCGGGAGTGACGGGGCAGGTGTAGATGAAGAGCAGGGGGCTCGACTCGGCGCCGTTGTGGGTGTGGGTGAAGCGATAAAAGGTGAAGCGAGGCTCGGTGGAGGAGATGGTCTGGGTGAGTTCGGTGATGCTGGAGGGGCTTTCGGAAGAAGGGACAAGCTCGACGGATTCCTTTTCGGGGTTGATTTTCTGTAGATGCAAGTTAGCCGTTCGTCCGTCAGGAGGGAGGTGGGTGGAGAGGCAGTTACGCACCAGCATGACCAGCACACGACCACCGTTCAGGTCCTTCATGGCAGCGAGGGCGTCCTCGGCGATGGGCATGGCGAGGGTCTTGCTAAGATGGATCTCGCGGGTTCCCGTGCCGGTGCTCGCCTCGGCCTCAGCCTGCTTGACTGCACCGAGACTGCGCTCCTCCTCGGTAAGAGGGGCCTCAAGCTCGGTGTGGGCATCGTGCTTGACGAAGCCCTGGGCAGAAAGCTCCTCTGGGGTGGTGGCGAAGATGGACTCGCGGAAGTGCTCGGAGCCCAGCTTACGGACAAGAGTCAGGCGGGTGGAGGCGAAGAGCATCTTCTGGCGGACCTTGGCGGAGTCGGGGACGTATGTGACGGCCGTTAGGCGGGGAGCGGTATCATAGCGGCGGAGGAGGGCATAGAGGGCTTCGTTGGGCTTGAGGTGCGGCTGGAGGGCGGACAGGTTGTCGTCGAACGAGTCTGAGGACTTGGAGAGGAACTGGACGGGGGCGAGGGTCTCGTTGTCGATGGTGACGAGAAGGCCGAAGTGTTTATCGCTCCCGAGGAGGGTGTTGAACTGGGAGACAAGCTCCTGGGAGGCTGACGAGCGTTAGCAGTGGGATTTAGAGCCTGGCACGAGGGAATTGAGGATATTTGCGATCTGGCGGTGGACAGCGACGGGGGCGGGACAGCAGCGGGACAGAACGTACCAGAAATGCCAGACTGCATGCTGGCGGTTTCGAGGGGTCGCTCTAGGTGTTGCGGTTCGTTTCTCTAGGATTCAGGTTGAAGCTAAGGCGATATGGGCGGGATATATATACACACAACTCCCCCGGCGACGATTGAGGGCGGCAGCGGCGGTGTTGAGTTGTGAAGCTGGAGATGCGGCCGCTACGTCAGCTGTTGGGTGGATTCCAGGATGGGGCTCCAATGGTGTACAATGGAGGGGTAGGAGCACTTTAGTGGTCGCTGCGGGTAGACACCGGAGGAGGGGCGGGCTTCCGCCATTGACTCGGGTTATGTAAGCCACCTATCCTTACCCATTGGTACCGCCTAGTAACCGCCATCACTTTCTTCACGACCACGGTATCATCTGCTGCGAATAGCTTCATTCTGATTAAGGCGCATGATACCACTCTGTCTACCTGAGCCATTTCCACGCCGCAAATGCAGCTCCGACAGCAACACCATACGTTCCGACAATCCTGGCTGCCTGAAACCAAGCATTTCTAATAATCTTCGCATTCGACGCTTCGTGCGCTTGCCGGTCATTCGCGAACGGGAACGCCTTGCCCTCAGGCACTTCTTTCCCGACAAAGTCACACAGAGGCTTCCACCCGTCCTTGCCCACCCTGTACACCAGTAGCCTCTCAGGCGCAATGTGAGCCTTGATGCGCTCAGAATGTCGACGGTAAACCTCTGGCGTCATGCGGCGGAAGTCTTCCAGGCTCGACGCACCTCCCGAGAAGCCGCGGAGTATCTTCTGCATGGTGAATCCCGCCCGGTTGCCGACGATAGTGCCCAGTATTTTAATCAACATGCTGGTCAAGGGCTGAAAATTAGGCCAGAGGACCTGGCTCTCGAAACTGGGATACCACGTGTCGTAGTCGCGCTCCGTGAGGATGATCTTGGCGTCGGGATACGCATCCGCCAGCTCCACCGCGAAGAAGCACACCAAATCCGTCAACGCGTCGTACACCCCAAACAGCTCGTCCCAGTCTTCTCGAGTGAAGGGCTTCGGCCGAGGTGAGTGGCCCTTGGCGTTGATTTCAGGCCAAGTCGCCATCGCCGCTCGCTCCAGGAAATCCCAGTGGGTCGGCTTGGTGCGGGAGTCGAGGCCATCGTAGACGTGCTTGAAGCCCAGTTCTTCGAGAGCTGTTTTGAGAGAGGTCGTGCCGGTGCGAAGCAGCCCGACGGCAATCACCCTGGGAGGGCCAGCATCGCGCGCCCTGTCCTCTGGAGTTGCCATGCTGATCGAGCTTTCTCGGGGCAAAACAGGGAAACTAACAAGAGCTGAGCATGTTCTTCGCGAACAAGAAACCATCTGCAAGCGGTGTGGGTTGCCATGATCATTTAACGTAGCATCGACGCGTCCCGGTCTCTCCGGGCGGTGTACCCACGGCTGAACTCGCGAAATCAGCGCTAGATGCTGATATACGATAAGCAGAAACTCAATTGGGAGGAGCTGAGCAGCAATTAAATGACCTGTCTTGCCAAGCGGCCAAAGTCCCAATCCTTGTCGTAATTGCTTACCACCATCGTTGCACAACAGTTGAGCTGTGTGCTGCTAGTTGGTACCTGACTCAGGTCGCTTGCTGTGGCCGACTCCGCATAAGCAGCTCCCGATACTTCTCCAGGCTCTCTCCGATCATGTTGATAAACGGCCATTGAGTATTGCTTTTGAAGAAGTGCGCCCAGATCCTCAGTACTGCCAGACTGAGAGACGCAGGGTCCCGGTCTACACCCACTTCGGGCTCGTCGTCGTCAAAGTCAACCACGTCGTAGGCTTCCTCCACGATGCAGCGTACCCAATGCAAGATCCTGTCTTCGCTGTCTGCAATCCTGTCAGCAGGTGTCCTCTGACCTTTTCGCAAAGGGGGTTTGCTGCCGGGCGGATAAATACAATGCAGACAATGACGACTTCAGGGATGATATGGATGATAGGAAAAACAGGTACAGCGTAGAACTCCGCTCCAGTAACAGAAGCTCGGGCGGGTAAAAGGACTTACCACTCAACGGCGTCGTGCCCGAGGCCTCCGTCAGGGAAAAGAGCCATTTGCTCAGCAAAACAGCACACTCAAGACCCGAGAGTGAGTGTCTGACGCTCCAGAAGAATGCCTGGCTACGGGCGACACGGTCGACGCCGAGTCTCACGGGAATACTCAGCATATGGGCCGTGTAAAGAAGCGCAGTAATGACTCCGCCACTTCGTTCGACTGCGGGTGATCGATATATGGCCTTGGCAATGCGGATCGGATCTCGTGTTTCGAGCAGTCGATAAGGACCTAGGTGGAGATAGATCCGAACGTAGGCCAGTCCAAGTAGTGAGCTGGAAGTAAAAGGGATGGGGCCGTTCTCGTTGTTTGGGTCGAGACTCGATTCGGGAGCCTGTTGCCATCCCGCAGTCCACGATCGCAAGCCGCGTCTAGTGAAGGTTAGCGTTGTGTGGTGAATGATTGTAATTGGACTTACTCAAGCTTGTCCACCTCCTCGCTAGGCAATGATGCTGAGTGATCCATCACCGGCAAAGAGAGGTCTCGGACGATGTATATCCTCTGCAGCAGACCGTGTAAGAGTATGTAATTGCCCAGTGGGGTGGGAATAGGATCAAGTGGCGCAGTGCCATCAGTGTTTCTCAGCAGAAGCGACAACGCATCCTGGAAAAAGAGCTGCTGTTTATCAGTCTCTCGACGGGCGATCTGCCACTGGACAGCATTCGAGGCCTTCCATTCCTTGGTCGAACAAGGCAGCCGAAGGCCGACCTCATTGCTGCGGAGAACAGGATAAACGTTATACGCAATGCTATGTGTATGCATGAAAGAGAAGGCAATCAGCTTCGCGCGCCGTGCTGACTCTTGCTGGGCCCACGCATGCCAAGCTGCCTGTGGCGTGGTCTGGTCGGCAGGAGGCTGGCGCCCGTCTTCCTCATGAAGGCCTACTTCACGCAAGACTTGAGCCAGAAGTCCTTGTAAACCAAAGGCCTCTTGCATCAGCGACACCTTGGGTTCCCAAGTCGCATAACCCATGAGCGCAATCAAAGCACGAACGGTCTCTATGGGTTCCCACGGACCCCAATCTCTTGCCAGGATGGGTCGTGATTCGCGCCGTTGAGGCATACTGAGAGACGACCCTGTCTTGGGCCCGAACTTATCAGACTCATGAGCAAGGCGCTCCATCAAGATGGCTTTGCCGGCGTAGAAGAGTCTTTCAGACATGCGGTGCTCGAAGCAGTACTGTGCACCCACAGCAGCCAGGCCGAGAATGAGTTCGAGCGAATGCTCGAAAATCCGCCATGTTGGCGTGTGAAGGAAAGGCATGTGTGAGTGGAAGCCTTCAAAGTAAGACGTAAGATAACGGGTAAGTGCATGGCGGGATGGGAACTTGAAGTTTGGGTCGAGAATGTCGCGGAAGCTCTCAATGGATGCATTGAGACGAGAACGCTGCTCGTCCGAGATGCGATATGGCTGAGACTCATTGTCTACGGAGCGAGGAACTGAATCATGTGTGAGAGAAGTCCACGCCTGCATTATTCACAACTTCATTTACTTACTGGCGTCGGGCAAGTTCTCTGAGATGCGATTCCCTGTTGGAGCCGATGGCAGCCAAGAGCTGAAAGGGGTTCCGGGCCGGGTCCTACTGCGAGGCCCTGGGGTGGCTGTTCCTTCCCTCGAGTCTTTCACCCTTGAGTCTCTCATGCCTGGGTCGACGACATCATTGTCTCTGTCTGGGCCGTGGAAGTAGGGACTCCACTCTGCAGGCAGACCGACGCCATCGAGGAAGTTGGCAAACTCTCGGAAGTGGGCGTCAAACCCAACAACATCCTGATTGCCTGGCCGGAGGTTTGTAAGCAACAAAAGCCAAATGAGGGACGCCGTATCTGCAACCAACCATTTTCGTAGAACTGATCCGTTATCAAAGTCTGCTGATACGACGCATCTACGAGGCCACCATTTCTAGGGACGGCCATGGGATACAGATCTGCAGGTTGCGGCGGCGGCGGAGGAGGCGGTTGCGACCAATGATCCACGCTCATGCCCGAGAGAGAGACGGCAGCAGCCAGGTCAGCCTCGACTGGCGGCGCATGGCTATTTTCACCGGAGTCCGGCTCCGAAGGACCCTCCGGAGACTCGGAGCCGTCCTCATGGAAGGCGATCCGCTGATGGCGGGTCAACAGGTCTCGCCTAGCGAAGGCCGCTCCACAACGGCATATGAAGGGCTTTTCCTTGGTGTCTGACACGCGAGCAGGTCAGCGTCAAGGCACGTGGCAGAGTTCCGGGCATCTGGGTCATGGAGAAGAAGCCAGGAGTGCTAGCTTAGGTGTCGTGATGTGTCAAAATCACACGAGAACTTGGAGTAGATAGGAAACGGCTGTGGAGGAGATGGGATGACTGACGCGTCCGAACATGGCGCTCCAAGTGCTCGGTGCGCTTGAACGTTCGCCCACAGTGAGGGCACGAACGAGCATCGGGGCCGTGACCGGTTCGTCTCCTTCGCTTCACTGGAGTCGAATGAGGCCTGGGATGGAGAGCCTGCGGCGATTGTGCATGTGGCTGCGGTGGCGGCTGGGTCTGCGTGCCGGGACCGTTGTGGGACAACATCCTTTCCCACACACACACAGACGCCGTGGTTGGAGGTGATGAGAAAGACAGGGCAAGTTGGAGAGAAGGCTAATTGGGGCATCCCCTTGGCTTATGTTGGAGAAGATTGTTCCCCTTGTGGGTCTTATCGACGACCCCAAGGCGGTCATTATCTTTGGAGAACATGACTCGTATCCATGTCCCCCACGGCGGCTATCTAAGTTCGATGCTCCCTTGGACTGGGCGAATTATCTTGCGCCATAACCCCTGTGACAATGAATATCCTGCTTTTCTCCGAGGCCGTATCTTGCCCGTTTCCCCGCAATATCCACTCGGTATTTTGAATCGGGTCTTTGGGCCGGTTCACGCTCGGGCGTGTTGGAGTAGTTGGGAAGTGATCATCAGGCCGATGTCGACCTATCTGGTCCATGTAACGATAGGCATAACATAGCAGCTGCTCTCAAAGCATATTGCGTTTTCCTTTACAGTGCTATTGCAACGACCCCGGCCCCAAGCATCATAATGTTCAAGTTTCCCGGAGTCGCATTCATCACGGGTGCTGGTGGAACGGGTAAGTGAGCCCAAGCTCCTCGTCTTCGAGGTTACTTCACCACTGACAATGCGAAGGTATCGGGGCAGCTGTTGCCAGGGGTTTTGCTCGGTCAGGCTGTTCAAGAATCGCCATCACAGACCTGAACAGAAGGTCACTTATTGACACGCGCGATGCGATTCTAGAGATCCACCCCAAAGCGGAGGTGTTGAGTCGGGAAGGTGACATCTCTGACGAGACGTTTGTCAACTCGTTCGTTGGAGACATTGCCAAAGCTTTCTCTCGTATCGATTATTCAGTGAGCTGCGCAGGAATCTTGGGGGCATCACTGAAATCTCACGAGACGTCGACGGCGGCGTTTGATCTCATAAACAATGTCAACTACAAGGGCAGCTGGCTGGCGTCTCGCGCCGTGCTAAGTCACATGTTGAGACAAAAGCCATTATCTGAGCATCCGGAGCAGCGAGGATCTATTGTGAACATCGCGAGTCAGCTCGGCGTAGTCGCCCGACCAAAAGCTGGTAAGCTCGAGAGCATCACAAGCGAAAGTGAAGATCACTAACGAGACCTCTCGAATAGCCCCATACTGTGCATCAAAGGCTGCCATCATCAACATGACGAAATCCGACGCCATTGATTACTCAGAAGATGGAATCAGAGTGAACTGTGTCTGTCCGGGTGTAATTGCGACGCCAATGACGACAGCAAACGAGGAGCTGATCCAGAGGCTAAAGCCAGCGGTTGACATTGCGCCCATGAAACGGATGGGGACACCCGAAGAGGTGGCGAACGCAGTCTTATTCTTGTGTTCTAGCCAGGCGTCATTTGTTCAAGGGCACGCACTGGTCGTTGATGGCGGCTACACAATCAATTAAATACGTTCATCAGAGGTATCCAAAGAGCCACAATTCTGACTGATCTATCTAGTACGAGCGTAGTTGTGACAGACTCGTTGCTTAGATTTGTTGTATTCGATATACATCGATATGTCTTTCAAAGTGAAGGTTACGGGTAGCACAGAGCCCTTGATGTCTGAAACTGAACTGCTCTCAAAGGGTTCTTCATATGCCCGGCGCTGGTGAGACCGACGTTTTCCGTGCTATCGCAACGTCAGTGTCTGTTGCCTCCGAGTTTATCGCCACAATTGTCTCTGGTTCTGCCTCCATTCACGTCCATGTCTCCGACTGCTGCGGATATTCTCGGTTGTGTGTCTGTCTCTTACGTTTCATATCCTTGTATTTCTGTCGATCTCTTACCCGTAGCTTCACTGAAAGCATGTCAGTAGACTGAACGTATGTCTGGTAAAGAAAACAGGCAGGCAGCACGTCAACGTATCTTTGCAACAAATTGGACTTGTAATCCGGGAAACGAGAATTCAACATGAATCAACTGTGATTATTTTGAGATTTCAATAGATGAGATCTCGCCGTCTGCTCTCAGGCAGAGAGTTTCACCCGTTTGAGGGTGGGTGACGTGGTGCTATTTACTTCAGGCACGGGTCTGCTGTTTGACTTCATGCTCGCTCCATTAGGAGGGAAGTCATGCACTTGACTAGTTGTTTCCTCGATGTTTTTGAGAGCCCGCCAATCAAAGTTGCTTTCCCAAGCGTGTCCAACTTTTAGTACGCTCTTCTCTTGCCATAGCCCGCCAACAATCTGCATACCAACCGGCAGCATCACCTGTGCATCATCTTTTGCGGGAATAAAGCCAACGGGCATGGACATGGCTGGATGTCCAGTGACATTGAAGACAGCCGTATTTGTTGTGAGGCCAATTGTGGGCTCAAACGAACCCAAGACCGAGTCCCGAGTACCGTGTCGCGGGGCCACAAAAGGTGTCGTTGGCATGATGATGACGTCGTACGTTTGAAAAGCCCGCTGGTAGGCATCACTGATCTGACGACCAATGTTGACCGTTTTGCTATAGAGCCCAGGGAACTTGTCTTGCAGGTACAGGCCGTTGATTACAGTGTTCTTGGTTGAAGGGAATAGCTTATGAAAGCTAGGATCAGTGAATGGCAGTCGAGCCTTTTCAAACTCTGTGAGACCGAGTCCCCTGTGGCCAGTAGCGCGACCCAGTATGCCCGAAGAGCCTGAAATACGCTGCTGAAGAGTCCAAATTGAAGGGCCCTCGAGGTGGAGCGGCACGGAAACCTCTTCCACCGCAGCTCCTAGGCTTTCCAGCTTCTGTGCCGCCATCAGGACGTGGTCTCTGACTCTTGGATCGACAATCTCTTGGTGGAAACCTTCTTTGAGAATACCGATCTTGATCCCATCGAGGCGACCGGAACTTGAACGAAGAAAGTTGGCAAAATTATATGACCCGTGGGCTTCAGCACCCAATGACTTGTCGTCGATGCCGTCATATCCTGAAATGACATCGAGGCACTGGGCAGCCTCCATGACGGATCGGCATATGGGTCCAGCGTGGTCGTCGATGGCATCGCCGCTTGTGAAGCCAGTGAAGGGAATCAGGCCGTGTGTAGGCTTTACTCCGACACATCCGCAGAAGGACGATGGAACTCGAATGCTGCCTCCTTGATCCGTGCCGAGCGCAATATCAATTTTTCCCGAACCAACCAGTGCCGCACCGCCGGAGGTGCTACCGCCTGTAGAGTAACCTTCTCTGTATGGATTCTCGATCGTGCCTTGGGCGCTAGTGAACGACGCCGTGGAATTGCAGAAGTGTTCGCAAGTTGCTGTACCCAGGATATCGGCTCCGGCGTCTAGCACTCGGGTCACCACGGTAGCATCTGTTGATGGCGTCCATGGAGGAAAGGCGTCACTGCCAAAGAACTGCGGGACGCCAGCAACAGCGATGCAGTCTTTCAGGCAGACGCTTCTACCCTTCAGTGACCCTGACGAAGGGTCCTTCGCGGATTGATCTCCTCGGATTAGAAACCGGTGCGCCCAAGCATGACCAAACTCTTGCTCTTCTGGTGTAGGAATATGGATATTTTCGCGGGGGTATTTCTTCGTATCGGGGACGGGTTGATAGTCCGGTAGGCGATCGATGCGGGTTGCACAGTCGTGGACTGCGGCTAGGAGTCTCTGGTAGTCGGCCGACTCCTCGGGTTTGATCGTCAGACCAAGCGGCTCGAGTAGCTTCTCGACGTCTCCTTTCTGAACAGGATTATCCCTAGATAAAGCAGTTAGCAAGAGGTCTGTTGGTAGAGTGGACAACTTTGATGGCCGTACGATGAGATATCCTTGAAGAATACAGACATGGTGGGCAATCGACCAAGTTTCCAGTCTACTGCGAGCTCAACGTGTATTCCACGGATGCCGCTTGAAGCCAGCCCAACTTGTTGCTCATATGTGTATCAAGACATGATCCATGATGGAGCCGCGAGGAAATGTCGGAGACAACTTCCGGGGGTCATTGTACCGGTTTGTGGCGAGAAGGGTCTCCGATGACAAACAGAATGAAGTCGGCATTAGTGGACGCGATGACAGGAGAATGACCCCGCCGGGCGGCACGACCCCATTAGTCGCGTCTCGGGGTTGGAGAAGGGTCGATGGGGTAATTAAGTTGGTAATGAACCGCGCGAGTCGGGGAAGTCTTCTTGCCCCAGCTCCACATCCAGCGCTGAACGAGATGCTAAAGCTGTGAAGTGACGTGAAATTTTGGCAAAAAGCTCAGAAATCGTGGGGATCAAAGTTGGAGGGAGATGTTGCATAAACAACAGTTGCATTGTCACCCGGTTTGTTGGTTTGGTGGTAGAGATGCCAGGGGGGCGATGCCCTGTTCAGTCCAGTAGGAAAGCAAGCTCATCTGATTGGGACTATCTCTGCCCCTGTCTCTGCCTGCTGCCACACTTTGCTGCTGCTGCAGCTGAGGTCATTGTCGCTGTCGCTGACCCTCTGTTGCCAACTCTGGCCATATTTGCATCTGTCGCATTTTCATTCCCAGCAACGTGCCTTCACCAGACTTGAGGGCGGGAATGAAGGAAATACGTGTCTCGTGTGATTTATCCACCAAGCCTCAAAGCAGGTAGAGCTTGTCACCATCCGATTGTATGTAGGTGGACTTTCTAAGTGGAAAGGTGTTCACTCTGTTACCTGGACCACGAGCCTGCCCCTAAAAGCGCTGTCTTGGTAGATTTCTACAACACCCGGAATCCCGTCAAACGGCACGAGTGTAATGTGCGATCTGACGCCAGCTTCCTCGACAATTCTCATCATCCTCTCTGTTGCCGTTCGGCTGGCAACATAGCTTCCACGGATGGTGAGCTCCTTGAATACAATCACACTTGAGTCAAATCTCCAGGCGTCGGCCGGAAGACCCAGCACACCCATGACGCCTCCAATCCTCAGTATCGATAAGGCCCAGTTGTTGGCCGCCAAAGAGTCAGTGCAGACCACTACAGCAGCAACGCCTTCGCCGTTCGTGAAATCCATGATCTTTGCAGTGGCGTCTTCAGCACCGGAATCAACCACCAGCGCTGGCTTCAGAGCTTCATTAGGCATTTCCGTGGCAAGTTGCCTACCAGCCGGTCGATTGTCGATGGCTATTGTGCGGAATCCCATGGCGGTAGCGAACTGCAGACCGAGGTGACCGAGCCCGCCGATACCAACAACAGCCACTGTCTCACCGGGGCTGAGCCCAGCCGTCGCTCTCTCCAGCGATCCCCATACCGTTGCCCCTGCACACATCAAAGGCGCAGCCTGGTCAAACGATAGTGATGCTGGCAGACGGACTGTGGTCTCTGGATCAATCGATAGATATTCTGCGAATGCGCCGTCGTGTTGGAAGCCTGCAGTTTCTCTCTTGTCACAGAACCGCGGATCAAGTTGCCCACTCGTGCGCTTCGTCAATCCGCAACCACTGCACTCCCCGCACGAATTCTTGTAATTGAGTGCACCAACCTGGTCGCCAATCTTCCAGGCAGGACTACATTTTGCGCCAACTTTGACGATTACACCGGCAGGCTCGTGTGAGGGGATCATGCCTAGAGGCGACTTGAATTGCCCTTGCAGCACTTGTAGATCAGAGTGACAGAAGCCAGCCGCATGAACTCTGATAAGAAGTTCGTTGTCGCGGACTTCCGGCACATGTCTCTCAACCAGCTCATAGGGTTTACCGTACTGCAACACTTTAGTCTCTGCCTGTCTGAATGACATGACTGAAAAACTAACCTCAGATATTTGGGCAGCCCTCATAAGGGGGGGAATGCTTGGGGTCGTCATTTGCGTCATGGTGCAAGTAAACTTCTTGTCAGACTGATACGACTGAGAGGGTGGACTCGTTATGTCGTAGGAGCAACATTCGTCGATCGACCCTGTCACGACCAAAATTGGGCCATATCCAGGCCCAGTTGCGATAATGAGGGAACAAATAGGAGCTGTTGGAGACCATCTCTCTCTGAAAGAGGGATCTGACGCCCCTCACTTGGAGGATTTTAGTCTCCAACTCCTCGCAGAAGTGTCTCCAACTCTCCTCTAGTGTACGGAGCAATCCCCGACAACACCCACTTTCAGCATCACCCCTCTTCTTTCCTCAGTTCTAGTTTTAGCAACATTTCGCAAATCAATTGATGAAGATCTAATCCTCCAATCAAATTGCTGGGAAAAACGATGCCTTTTGAGTGACCCGCCCCGGCACCCCGCGATAAGCTATGGTCCCTGGCAGCAAAGGTATCTGGCGGACTAATGGAGCTTACCAGATTGAATTACCCCTCATTAGCCAGTGAGCTGAGTGTGGTGGGCGACCTTCCTTAAGGCCGGACACCTCGCTATCTGTGAGCAAGACAATAAACTCTCTCCCATTAACCCCCGCACACGCGTTCTGTCACAACTTTAGACGCAGCTCTACCTTGTTTGCCTAGCTTCCTCAGCACCACAATTCCTTGAGTCGATATGGGCAAGAAGCGTGTTCTCGTTAGCTACGGCGTTGACGTAGATGCGGTCGCAGGATGGTTGGGCTCATATGGAGGGGAAGATTCCTCAAATGATATCAGTAGGGGTAAGAGCTTCGCATATGGCAAACAATCAGCGAAGGTGAAACTAAGCATCTCCAGGATATTTCGCCGGCACAATCGGTGTCCAGCGAGTTCTCAAGTTCCTTGCGAAGTATGACATCAAGGCGACATGGTTCATTCCCGGCCACAGCCTCGAAACCTTCCCCGAGGACATGGCCGCCGTCCGAGATGCTGGCCACGAGATCGGCCTCCATGGCTACTCACACGAAAACCCAACCGACATGACGATCGAGCAACAGAGAGAGATTCTCGATAAAACATATCGCATGTTGACCGAGTTTGCCGGCAAGCCCCCGAGAGGTAGTGTTGCACCGTGGTGGGAGACAAGCAAGGAGGGCGCGCAATTGCTTCTCGACTACGGTATCGAATACGACCACAGCATGAGCCATCACGATTGTCAGCCTTACTATCTGAGGACTGGCGACTCATGGACTAAGATTGACTACAAGAAGAAGGCCGCTGAATGGATGAAACCCCTCGTTCGGGGCCAGGAGACTGGACTCGTCGAGATTCCGGCAAACTGGTATCTCGACGACCTTCCGCCGATGATGTTTATCAAAGACGCACCCAACAGTCACGGCTTTGTAAACGCCAGAGATGTGGAGGATATCTGGCGGGACCATTTCGACTACTTTTATCGGGAGTACGACGAGTTCATCTTCCCGTTGACCATCCACCCAGACGTGTCTGGTCGACCCCACGTGCAGCTCATGCATGAAAGGCTGATCGAGCATATGAAGAAGCACGAGGGCGTTGAGTTCGTGACAATGGCACAAATCTGCGACGAGTTTAAGTCCAAGACGACCCCTGCCGAGGGTGCAGTGATGCCCGCAGAACCCGGAGCAATTTTGAAGCAATCATAAGCTTAGGCACATAGCTAGAGGAATAAATATACCATGTCACGACTCAGAAATCTATCGACACGCCGTGTGACAATCGTCGGGGCCAGATCTATGGCAAACCGCCCTCTCTGCTGGTCACGTCTCAATCAAGCGATCCCATAAAGAATATCACCTCACACTCCTAAACCCTGTGGTGTATGCCCACGAACTTTGGAGACTAATCATCATATCGTTCAGAGGAAGCCTCCTGGCTCCTTACCCCGCGCTTATCGTTCATGACGTCTGATCCATATCAATGGAGGTTAAGATTGGAGCACACCTCCCAAATCCGAGAGTTGGTATCTTGACCCCAACGCCGGCAATAGTCTCATAACATTAATACCCCAACAGGCTTCGATATACCCCAACGTTATCAGAGGAGCCCTGTCGACCCACAACCAACCTCCACTGAATGCTGTCTTACCCCCTGAACATGCTTTTGACTTTGGCTGCTGCCAAGGATACGTGACCCACGATCTTGGGGCGGCATCTGACGCTGCTCGCGGGGTTGGGTGGATTCCACGTCGATGGTTATCTTGGTCGGGAACTCTTTGCCGCTACGAGATAAGCCACGCCTGACTCCCTTGACCTGCTCACCTGTCACAGGCCATATCGCCAGATGCTCCAAATCCATCGAAACGCTTATATCATATAAATGATATTCGGGCGATGTCTTGCGTCTCCTGAATAGACAGAAAGACAAGCCGTCCAACATTTCATCGACCGGCCAGGAGTATCGACTTAACACCGTCGAAATGTCGCAAACAACCTCTGAGAAGTCCGATGCAATCACGCCGGCACCGGTCCGTAGCAGCGGCAGCATTGACGCCGGCAAGCTCGAAAACCCTGAAGATGCTTATGAGGTCTTCAAGAGAGGCGACGGAGCGGTTGACTTTCGCACGGTTGGTTGGGTCCATGCCTCGGTCATTTTCTTGAAGGGTATGCAATCGAAACCCTAGTCCTGGTTATCGTATTCAAAGCTGACATATTCAAGTCATTTTCGCCACTGGTGTGCTCACAATCCCGTCTGCTATGTACGTCTTGGGGGCGCTTCCTGGTGCCATCAATGTCTTGGGCTGGCAGTTCTTGAACACGTACTGCGCGATCATCCAAGGAAACTTCCGTAATGCACACGCCGGATGTCACTCCATCGCTGATATGGCCAACGTCGTTGGTGGCACTTGGTTGAAAGAGGTTGTTGGCGTCTTGTTCCTCGTCACCTATGCCATCGTTGGCGCTTCAGGAATATTTGGCACATCGGTTGCTTTCAACGCTCTTTCTAACCACGCGATCTGTACCAACTCCTACATGTTGGTTGCAACGGCTTGCGTCTTCATCCTTGCGAGTGCCCGCAAGTTCGAGAAAATCGCCTGGCTGACATGGGCTGGCTTCATCTCGGTTTATGTCGCCGTCTTCATTGTTGTGTGAGTTACTACTCCTTCCTCTTCCCAAATACACCAACTAATCGCCGCATTAGTGTCGGAGTTACCCAGGTGGACCGACCTGCCGCCGCCCCTAAGACTGGCGACTTCGATCTTGGATACCACGTGATCGGCAACCCGAACTTTGTCACTGGCATCACCTCCGTCGCTACCATCTTCTGCTCGGGCGCCGGTACCTCGGCTTTTCTTCCCGTTATCTCGGAGATGAAGAAGCCCAGGGACTACAACAAGGCTGTCTACCTTTGCATGGGAATTGTTACCGCGTCGTACTTGACCTTCTCACTGGTTGTTTACCGATACTGCGGTCAATGGGTGGCCTCTCCATCTCTCGGAAGCGCAGGAGATGTGATCAAGAAGGTCTCCTACGGCATTGGCTTAACAGGTCTCATGGTCAGTGCCTGTCTTTACATCCACGTTGCGGCGAAGTACCTCTTTGTTCGCCTTCTCCGCAACTCAGTCCACTTGCAGAAAAACTCCATCGTGCATTGGTCTGTCTGGCTTGCCTGCACTCTCGGCATGTCTGTTATTTCGTACCTGATTGCCTCTGGCATCCCCATCTTCAATTACCTTCTGGCCTTGGCGGGAAGCTTGACGTTTGCGCCATTGGCGCTGGGACTTCCGGGATATCTCTGGGTCTACGACCACCAGCACTACCGCCAAGGTAGCTGGTGGAAGGTCTTGGTCTACTGGCTTAACTGGCTGATGATTCTTCTGGCTGTATTCCTCACTATTGGTGGTACATATGGTGTTGTTCAAAACATCATTGATGCCTACGCAAACGGTTTGATCGGAGGTGCGTTCGCTTGCGCAGACAACAGCGGATCTTCATAAAAGGCAGAAGAGGCTGCGTGATGAGAAAATCGTGGAGGATTCTTCGATGACGATAGGCTCAGTTGCTTGGAAATGTTACCCAGTTAAGACGATATCTGTGGAAGCAATCGGGCATTTAATAATGAGGTAGAAATCCTTGATAAAATTCAATGGGATAACAATATATTGCAAATGAGTTCCCAACGTACTATGCTGAAACAGTGTAGCGCCCGCAGAGTTGCAAAAAGTCCAATAGTTGATGTCTGATCAGTGACACAAGGACGCCGGCATGACGACACTCTTGTTCTATCACGAGTGCGGGGGTTAATGCGAACCTGCTAATGAGACTTACCTCTGCGTAGTAAGATAATACTTGGACGTGCCTGTCGGTCACTTAGAGAGCTCGCCCGTCTCCGATGCATTCGTCGGTATCAGTATCCCGCTGCCCATGTACACAAATGCAAGAAAACCAACCTTGCCATGTCAAAAACCTGTCTGATTATGTGCCAACTTTACCCAAAGTCTTCTCAATCATAGCCTGAGGGCATCACCGATCTGCAGAAATACATCATCATGAGCTTCGAGGCCAGTCAAGTAGCGTCGATGAGGTCACTCTTGCCAGACTGGGAGACCTCAAGTGCCTCATAGCCGTCTTGGACGAAACTTTGCGTATCTACCCTCCCGCCAATAGCAACCACCCCCATTTGCTTCCTCCGGAGGGTGCTACAATTTGTTGTCGATTCGTTCCCGGAGGCCCTTTGATTGGTATTGGTCATTATTCTTGTTTCCGCCCAAGCAGCAGCCTCGCTGATCCTGACGACGTCGTGCGTGAGAGGTGGCCCAGCGAGGATATCAAGTATGCCAGTGATAGAAGGGAGCCTTGCAAACTTTTGGTATCGGAACTCGCGGCTACATTGGAAAGAAGTACCATACGTCGTAAAATGACCTTGAGACGAGTTAGACACCTGTAGCTGACACATAAGCCAGTCTCGCATACAACGAGATGCGTCTCGTATTTGCTACCTTGATGTTCGAATTTGAGATCAAGCTGCTTGAAGAGTCCTCGACGTGGGAAAGACAACAAGTGTCTTACAACTTGGTTCAAAAAGCCTCTTATGGCTGGGCTACATCGGGCGAAGGTAGCTAGACGCAAGGCAGAGGTGTAACACTAAGACATAGTCATGACGAGAGAAAATTGGGCCGCCGATGGATTGATTGAAATCAACTAGATTGGCTCCAGTCTCAGGGCAGTGCTCATATTAAGACTCCAGCAATTTGTACTTCACGAGACCATTAACGAGAACGAAACTGTGCTTCGTTAATCGAAAAAAGCACTTTGAACTATGTGATAATGCCTACCTATGGAGATGCTCAAAATCATTGTAAGCTATATCCTGTGTTGATTACAGCCCCGATAGTAGATCCGTTGGCACCTTAAAACCCAATACACAATGCAAATCAGATCAGAATAGCCATGCCTTGAGCGTTCTTCCCAACCCCCATATTCTGCAACTGGAGATGCTGTATTTGTTTCTTTTGAACTGTATCAAGAACCGTTACAGCTGCACTGGTGGTACCGTTTCCTGGAGCTAGCGCGTAGACGAAGTTGCCGGCAGCTTTGAGATCAATGAGACCCTGGTCGCCGTTAGAGCTGAGATCGATGATGTTCTTGACACTTGCATCCGTCAAAGACATCTCCACCACTCTGTTTAAGCCCACATCCGTGACGAAGGCTGAGTTTGATGCCTTGGAGAAGGTACCCCAGCAGGTAGCCTTTTGTCCGTCAATGACACCCTTCGCCTTGACCGTGGCGAGTTTGGAACTTTGATCAACGGATAAAACAGCAGCACCAAATGATGCATCTGTGACAAACACGTTGTTAGACTCGGGAATGTTGAATGATCCGAATAGAACAGCTGTTCCAGCCGGCGAAGAGCGTTGTGGTTGCTCAGCTACTGCTGCGTGGCCAGCCATTTGGCCCACTTGATAGGAAGCAAAGAAGCCGGTGTTGTTCTTGACCGGATCACCCTTCACCGTAACATACAAGCTTTTCTGATCGTCGGAGAAGAAGACTTGAGAAACAGTGTTGGTTGGTCCGACTGGCGGGGTAGTTTGATTCAAGGTTATGGCGCGGAGACTGTCCATGAGGCCCATGCCAGACTCGGAAAACGATGCGCACGAGATTCCGGCCTTCGCACCAGTAGTTCCGACGCAAATAAGGTGGTTTCTCTCTGAAGCAGCGACCGTGTTGGGAAATTCGCCAGGGACAGGAGCCGGCTGCCCGATCATTGTGAGTTTCGTCGGGCTGGCTGGGTCGATTTTGAACATGACAACAGTATTGGACCCAGCATTGATGGTGAATAGATACTATGTGCAAGATGTAGAGTCAGCCCATGAAAGCACTTCGAAGTCACAGCCTACTCACGTTTCCAGTTAATGTTACAGCAGACTGAGAGACCAGCCCATCAGGCGCAGCTGGTTGATTTGTCATGCCATTGACAGAGGACATACCAGAGCCGCGAGTGGAGGTGATGGTCCCTTCAGATAAGTGCCCGTCTAATCCAATTGGCAGAGCGACAATTGCATTGTCTCGGTCATTGGTGATGAAGTAGACTGCTCTGCCGGAACGCATCTTGCCGTTGACGCGATCAGGAGTCCTGCATGCTCTGGATGCACCCACAGACACCAGTCCAAGCAGGCAGAATGCAAGCATCGGTGATCTCAAGTACATGATTGAATGATTTGATGGTGGGAATGATGATAGAAGAAATCGAGGGCCTGTACTCGGAAAAGGTAGGAGATGATTTAAACAGTGATTTAGGGAATGATCTGAACAATGAACACACTTGGGCAACATCTCGTACTTATAGAATCCATTTCCGTTCTAGATCTGATAAACCAGCTAATACTTGTCACAATTCTCGTCCAGAAGCCGCAGTGGTTGAAATGGAGAACATAACTCGTGTAATCGAGATTTCCCTTTTCGGACAAGACGATTCCAGAGCGCGGGTTGGATTGAAGGATTCTGACTAAACTGGTTGGCTTAGACTGTCCAGCCTTCCTTGTGAATGGAGACGGTGTCGCGGATCGTAGTATCAGCTTCGTCTGATCCATTTGGGGGAGCTAACCATAAGAGGAAACTCTGATATTCTCATCGCGCTAGATGAAACAATGAAAGCTGCTTGATTTTCGGCTGAACTGCCGAAGCCACCCACAGACTCCAACCCTTGAATTTGGGTAGCTTCTACCCCTTGCTTACACGGTGTTCCTCACACGGACGTAGTTCAGGGCATATTTATCCCTCTGTCCCGCGGATGCTGTAGAAGCTTGCCACACTGTACGTTTGATTTCTCACAACACGAAGCGACCAGACCTCCCAAAAGATCGAACCATGAGCAGCAAAATCTTCAAAATCTTCAATCCGGGAGGTTAGTGCCAAATTTGCGCGAGTGCTATCTGGACTCGCGAACATCTAGCCCCTAGCTTCAACTCAATTAACGTACCTTTTGCAGCCCCAAAGGAAGACCCCGTACAAAAACGTCGAGCACAACTTCGGCGTGCTCAGAAGTACGATAACCAATATCTCTAGCGAGATCACGAAGTGAAATGCTGAATGAACCTGCAGATCGTATCGTGATCGGAAGGAAATCTATACAAAGTCATTGGAAAAGGAAGTCGCACAGACAAAAACTCGAGAAGCCGAACTTACTCGTCAATGCGAGCAATATTGTGTTACAATTCGACAACTCACGCAGATGTTACGGCATCATGGAGTCGATCTTCCCAACGACTTGGAGCTTGATCCTACCTACGGCCAATATCTCTCGCATACTCCGCTGCTCAATCAGCTCTCTCCACCATGGACACCAGAGGAGTCAATCTCCCCACAGCCGGCGCAGAACGACACGGAAGTTTTACAGGCGATGGATGCTCATCGATCTCCAATTCAATTCTTGTCAAGCGAAGAAAGCCAAGCCAGTGCAGTCCAAGGCCCGCCCGTCTCGCACGTCAACGAATGGCCTTCATGGAAGATGTCCTTTAAGGATGTTACGAGCGAACCTTCACCACTTGTGCCTCCTGCCTCTCGTTTATGTGGGCTTGACCACACATTGATTGGAATGGACTTTGTCCTGACGTAAGATTTCAGAGTTTTCGTTCGGGGTTGAGTTCGTGACTGATCTTTCACCTCAGCATCGAGAATCCTTGTCTCGGGCACCTTCATGGCGATCTAGGGAATGCACATAAGCCGACAGGTCACGCTTTGACAACTTCGGCACAGCTATTTTCCATCACAGGCATGTCGGCGGAGATTTCCAATCACATGGGTTTACCGCCCTACGAAAAAGCCCCAAAAGAGCTTCTCAATCGTTTATTGGATCTATCGTCATCGCTATGCCCGGAAGACGAAATCACGCCGACTCAAGCTTGGGAATACATCCGTGCTCAGACGAATTTCGGTGGTCTCGAACTGTACAAATTCCAGGCTCTCGCTGGGAAACTACGAGAGGCAGTGAAATGCCACGGGTATTTTGGTTCTGCTGCATGCCGCCAAATCATGATGCTGACTGTGGTGACAGTTTTGGAGCGGTTATCGATCGAGCGCTCTTCGAAAGTTTAGTGCACAATGTGTTCATCAAGTAATATTGATGCAGCTGGATAAAGCGGCTCACCTGCCACTTGTTCCAACGTGGATACACCATACACGAGCGAGAGAACCGTCTGCCGTTTCTTGGCAGACACAATCATCGGGAGACATCAAATGTGCATTGCACAGCTTGAATAAATGGACGCAAGGCACTTTGAAAGCGTTGTCATAGAAGAATTAGATTTGGTACTTTTATTCATGTCGGTGTCCTCATCGTCTCTTCCATCCACCACAGTAATGGTGTTGTCAGATTACTCATGCGACCATATCTGATTCATGCTTATTCTTCTTCCCAAATAGCTTGCGAATACTACCCCGGAATGAGCTTGGTGGGTCGGTAAACTGTGCCTCGTATGCGTCAATGATAGGCTTATCC